AACGACAATGCTCCACTAGAGCGATGGTTTTGTGAAACAGTTCTTCAAGTGATCTTGATTTCATGTAAAATTCACATTTGCTTCGTATAACATTCAATGAACATTGGGCAACTTCATGAATGAATTACATGTAGGTTTATTTTATGTGTGAATTGATAAATATGAATTATGAAAGACTTTTTCAAGTAAGCTAACTTTATTATTTTATGTTATACAAAATTTTTATAAAATTATTGAATTGTTCGAGTTTTAAATCCTATGTTGTGTTACATGTGATTTAATTGAAAATTTACTATTGTTAAGCTTTTTCTTGACTTACAAGAACTCAGGTCATTTTGAGTTCATCGTAATATGAAAAACAAAGGTAATTCATATCACTCTTGTAAGGCATGTTAACCACATTGAAGTTTTTACAATCTTAATATCTGTTTAATTAATTATAATAACATGAATATTGTTCAGACAATTTAACGACTCAACTGATTATTGATAATTGATAAACCAGTTTCAAGTGGAAAAGTATAGATTTTACAGAAAAAAATGGTTTTTACTTTTAGCAATCGATTAATAACAAACAGTAGGAAAAAAAATGTTCAATATATTACATTGTTTGATCATTAATAATAATAATAATAATAACTGAATGTATATAATTACGGCAAAAAACTGATATTTATCACTGAATTCATTGTTCACATATTCTCAATAGTCATACTAAAATTGATCATATTTATACAGAAATAAAACTTTTTTGTAGTCGGCAGCCTATGTGCTCTGTGGGGGGTAATAGGCGTAAGTAGGTAGGTAAGTAAGTAAAACTTTTTTTGTACAAACCATTACTAAACTCGGGATTCTACCTGTTATTTTACAATTTAAAGAAATAATTATTATGTTCTTGTTATACGACATTTAGTGTTTGTAAAATTTTCAATAATCTTATTATATACATTGTCTGTATCATATGCCATGTAGGTAATATCCGGAATTTTTGTGCTCAGAGTAGATATTATCCAAAGCCTTCAGTTATATGACATAATTATCCACAGAGAGAAATAAATAAGATGTTAAGTTTTATATTCGTTGAAGTATACGGTCATCCAACAACTCTTTTACAGACAATTCGTAAACGGTTTCCCTAATAACTGACTTTGATTGGCATTTGGTAACACAGAAGGATTCTGGAAAAAAATATAATAAAACAACGTGACTAATATTATAATTGTACCAAGCTATGACTGTAGATCATTGGAAATTCTATATTCATCTATTAGTAGGAGAAGATTTAGATCAATATAGTCCAGTTATTTTCTCTGTTTAATTTGAAAATTTTCAAGCATCATTCCTGGAAAACACTAAAAAGTCATAATGACTTCTTTCGATAAGAGTATTTATGTAGTTCCGGTGAAAGGCCATGATTGGCGCTAGATATGTACACCACTGAACGATAGCTTAGTGATTGAAAGGTTAAGCTCCTGCTGCGAGATCTCAAAACCTTAGGCTTGAATCTCATTAAGTTCGGATTTGCGATAAATGAGGAAATGTATTTCAAAAGAAAGAATTTAAGTCACATTCACCAATATGACGCAAGATAACTTTAAGCTTAAGCTGATGTATAAACTATTTATAATCTTCAAGTTTCCATTTCCTAGATGTAAGAGCTATTTTTAAACTGCAATGAAATTCATTATTTAACGAATGAGAATTCTAAGCTTTTAGTTCTAAATTTTGTAAATGTATTTTAGCTACTCGTAAGTAGCGTGATAAATTATTTCAAAAGATAAACGTTTCCATATCTTTTTGGTGATTATTTGGATTTGCATTACGGGGTTGTGAAGATTGTTAAGTTACACATTTTTGAAACCATGAATTGATCAGTGTTAGACCACCATTATAGACCTTTAGATACCGGCTCAGTGGTCCGATGGTTAGGCGTTCGCCTACTATACCGAAGGTCCTGGGTTCGAATCCTGCGGGGTGCAGCAGTCGTGGATGCGCACTGCTGAGGAGTCCCATGCCAGGATGAAACGGCCGTCCAGTGCTTCCAGGTTTCTAATGGTGGCCTAACATTGATCGATTCATGGTTTCAAAGATTAGTTGGACTAGCTATTTTAGTCATATGGACAATAAATACCAACACAACTATTTATATTTAGCGATGTCGCAATAATTTGTAACGCTTTTGTGACAGCGCATGCAGATAACATTCAGAACTATTTATCACAAGAAAATTATAACTGAAATACTTAGTTTTAGGAAATCAATAACCCAAATGTTTTAAAAGGCTACAGTACACATTTTAAAATATTGAAGTGAAATATTCAATATTCCGTCTTTACTCATGATGCAATGTAGATTGGAAAGCCTTATCACTTTTTCAATGTGATATTAAACTGCTTAAAAAGCTAATATAGTATTTTTAGCCTGAATATTAATTCCTTTTATAGACGAGGCTATAAATTATGAAGCTAAATGGAATATGATGTTCAGAATGTAGCAATTAAGATTTCTCCAAACGTATTTTATCGATACAAATATGCTCCTATACATTTGAATACTTTCAGTCATACCGATGTCTCAAAAAACTAAACCCATATCATGATTCGTATTGTCTACATATCATCGCCCTCAACCTCTTTTCCTTATATGTTCTCTATCATCTAGGTTGTGAAACAGGATAAGAATCTAACCTAAAAACCAAATGAAGCTATTCTGTGGCAAGTCAAAAAACTAATGGAAGACGTTAACATGAACTGTGGAAAGTTAATAGGATCTTGTTTGTTTGAGGCGAGATTAATTTGCAAGAAATACTACGACAAAGGCAATTTTAGATAATCATGAATCACTCATCATCAGACTACCATTATAAACCTGGAAACACTGGACCGCAGTTTCGTGGTATGGAATTCATTAACAGTGCTCATCTCATGCTTACTTACAACACTTTTACAATGCTTCGATATCGCTGAATGCATTTTACAAATAACCTATTATCAACTTTACTTTGTTGATGAAGTTCGATATGCTAGTCAACAACAAGAGATCAAATCGGGTATTTCATATGTTGCCAAGTTATTGAAACAAACACATACGACTGGATGTGGCTTAATGAGATGTCTCGATTCCACTTAGTTCGGCAGCAATTCATAAAGGATAAGTCAACAAACAGAGTGAATGTCAGTCAGCTACAACGTTGAACTTTGTACATACGTACATCAGTCCAAGTTGCCGTACCATATTATCACACAGAGATCGAATTGTCACTTCAAATTCCATAGTAGTAGAAGTGTTAGCGGTAATCAAAACGATTAGTGATAAAAGGTATCATTAAAGGAGTATATCCCAGAGGAATCCTTTTAAAAAAGAGAAAACGGTCTTGAGAAATCGTAATCGTTTATAAGGGACGGAACTGCTATCACAGAGCTGCTGTATGAGTTGCGAGATAAAGATATAAACAAAATGAAAGACAAGTGATGAAATAAGGATAAAATAATTGCGAAGGTAATTTATGAGGATGCAAGTAGAACCAAATTTATTTGTTTCCCAGTTGTATTTACCATTAAATTTGTGAGTATAGGGCTTATTATACTGTCTGGGTACTTGGGGAGAAGCAGGTGGTCTTTTTAGGAGTATACTCTCTGAGCCTTTGACCTAGAGGTCTAATCCAAATGGCAATGGGGTGATGCGATCCCAAGGTAGCCAATGACCAAGAATACTTTCTAACCCATTCGATCCCTGGAGTTGATATGCGCCACTGGTTTAGAGACACGGTTTTTCAACTCCTTCAAGGTAGAACTTCCGGAAAATTGCTATTTGTCCTTGAAATTTCGTAAACATTAGCGCCACCACAAGGCAGTGGCTATAAACTCTTAGCAATATGAGAGCGTTTCGAGGGGGAGAACGAAGTCTGTCAGGTCTGGACTGTACTACAACATTTGAGGGCTGGAGAGTTAAACGAAGTAATCAAAACAAAGCATATTTGTCTAAACCGGTTCTGACATCTCTAAAACTAATCATCATTGTTGAGTTATCTTTCAATAAGTGGAAGCATATCACTGAAAAATGGTATTTTATTGGATTTAAATTTCAGTACAGATTCATTAGCTCAAGTAAAGCAGATAATTATCTGCAGTCAATTTATTGGAAGTAAACTATTCAACTATAATCGAAAAATATTCCATACTAAAAATAGATAGCTTAAACATCATTTTTAGTCAGTTCCACTGAACTTTTTCAGATTACTTATTCTTACAGATATCGGATGATACTCAATAAATCTTTACTTTCATGTGAGTTACAAATTATTTGACTTTGTTTAGCCTTGAATAATAGGTTGCTGTTCATGTGAAATATTTATAATAGACTATTAGTTTAATTAATTCATATTAGTTATCTTAATCTTTCAGTTGATATTGTGGACTGTAACTGAATAATCTTCATTATCTTGTTTCAATAAATATCAATACCACACACATTCTACAGGCCTAGCTTTAGACACATGATTAAATAGCTTTACAACTGCCTGATTTTCACAACCATTAAAAGCAGAAGGTAGTTGGTACAAACTCAAATTTTCTTGAACATTGGTGGAAATTAAATGAAGACGTATAAAGTGATATAACCCATTAATTCAAAATTAATTAGAATGGAACAGCAGGTATACACAATACGTATTCCATGAGAGTTATCAAAGATATCTACTTATTGAAACCAAAGTGCGTTCGATGCCTATGAACTGCGAAAACAGATCATGAAGACGAATTTACAGACAAAGTTAAGTTATACAGAAAGATCAGATCAGACAAATCACTATGATGAAATAATAAAATAGCAAAAGTCATCTGTTTATTTATTGCTCAAGGCGTGGACAGAATAGAAAATTCAAAATTTTTTTTTTACAAAATAACAGCTAAGAAGTATACACAAAACATCAAATCATAAATGAACCGTATTGCATCAAATTTTACTGCTTCACAAGGTTCACACAATACAGAAAAATAAACTTAATGCCAATTTGTATCAACCATAATACTGGTTGATAAAGATGGAGATATAGGAATGTTATGAGAAGTAGTATTAGTAGTAGTGAAAAATGTCGATGCTAATTCTTTAGCAAGAGACATATGAATTTTTGTTAGTAATGAATGCATATCATTGTTTGTGGATAAATTATTAACATTTAAATCTAAATCTGCTCTTAATTCAATCAAAGCAGTAATAAGTATTTCAACTTGATCTCGACGTAGGCGATTTCGACCCAATAAATGTCTAACTTCAGCAAGTAGTCTTATTTTAAGACGAGTCGGTATACGTAAACCAAATCCTGCAGTTGAAGAGTTGATACCATTTTGTCCATTTGCATTTGTGGTGGTAATAAGTGAAGTGCCAGGACTAGTAACTAGTAAATCAATAATTCGATCAACTGCACCTTCACAATCTCCATCATTAAAACATTGTTGAAGTTCAGCATAACGAACTAAAAAAGCTAATTCAGGTGATAATTGAAGACGATTCATTTCATTACTCTTATGATTATTTTTTTTATTATTATTTGACAATTCATCAAATGATGATCCTCTACAAAAGCCCAATATGATAGCAGCCAATTCTGCAACTTCTGTAGAAGCAGGTGAAATGGTTAATTCATTCAAATTGTCTTTATGCATAAATCCACTATCTTTAATAAGAGAGAGTTCAGCTAACCGATTAATGATAGCATAATCATGTGCCATTAGAGCCCAACCCATTGAAATACAAATTGGAGAATAATTTAATGAATCAGTTATAGAATTTTCATTAGATTGTAATGATAAACATGTAAATCTACGACAATTTAATTTGGCTAATTCTTCAGCAGTTGAAAATAATCCTCTAACTTTGGCTTGACTAATAAACTAATGATATGAAATAAGGAAAAAACATGTAAATAAATAACACATTTAACATAAATGAAAAATGAAGTTATTTAGTGTTTTTTTTTTAATGAAAGACCGTTTATTCAAATTACTGATCTTCAATAAATATTCAGTAATGGAGGTAATATTAGTGTTAGGATATTCATCCAGTATCCTAAGAGAATTATTTGTAAGTCTAATTCTATTGGTCAATTCGTATTGGTCGTCCTAACAGTCAACGTCACATACTTCAATGTTGTTTCTTATTCGACCTAACTGTATAAATGTGCATTATCTGTAACATTTTAGGACTTGGATCCTTAGTTCGAAATCCTTTTCTTCTTCTGAACTCGGACCTCGTGCTTTCTAGACGTTTGTAGAATACACGTTCTACTTCATATTAAGTCTTCTTCTTCTACTACTCAGTCGGGGGTTTGGGACATTCGGATTAGAGTAACCTGTCGTGTCGCCGGATCCTCGATGATTGCTCTCGCTTACCGATTAAGGTAAGCTCGTAATAGTTCAGACGTATTAATTGACGTGTTGATGTGTATGCGTAACAATCATACTAATGAATAGAATATAACATTTAGAATAAATGATGTGACATTACAAAAACCAAAACAAAATTCGAAAATACAGTTGAGAAATTCAGGTTGCGACTGACTTTCAAGAAAAGATTTTCGTCACTTCATGAAATAATACTTACTTGCAGTACTTAAATAAAAGATTATAAGGCTGCCTTTAAGTGTTATAAGCAGAGATGGACAGTGACTAGCAACCGAATCCAGGACGCATGTTTTGTCCAATTCGGGACTTATCATCTGCATATACCTGCATCCAAACGTTGTTGTTCACTCTAGAACTCAAACCCAAGTACCGTTCGCTTCAAATGGGACGAAACGTGCATCCCGGATTTCTCTGTTAGCCACTAACCAATTCCGCTTGTATAAAATACTTGTGATTGAACGATTATACCAAAGTAATCCGCACAGGATGAATATATGCCAAATGAAACTGATTGGTTGCAATCTTCACGATCAATGCGAAGACTCAAACTACTAATAAAAATATACTAATTTTAATTTTCATTGATTTTCTGAGTATCGACCACACTAGAAGTGATACATATTCTAGATTCTAGTAAAAGTTGAAACCATAAAGAGACTGATATGCTGCATAACTTTCACAGATTATATATATAGTTGTCTTGAACTTAAGAGTAATAAATTATTCATATCTGATCATTGATAATGTCACTAAATCATACGCAGAAATGATATTTTATAGACAAAGTGGAACTAGTGAACATAGTTTTGAGTCATACTTTATGTATTAGGGCAAATGGAACAATGTAACGACGGCGGATTGGAATCAGAATATAAAAAGCCTGAAAACTACACTCATACATAAACTACTACTACATAAAAATCTCATAAAAACACAATGTACATAAATGTTAGGATAGCAAATGAACATGTAAGCTCAGATATTTACCTAGCTTTTAATATCATTAAATTTTGACATTTTAGTTTTGTGAATTGCTCACATATCAGGCTATTATGTCGACTGTTAAAGCCTCTCATTTCAGAGGAGAAATTTGAAGTGTCTATGCACTTCGGCTACTAAATTATGAAGTTTCGTAGCTGTTAATAACTAATAGCGGTGAGAGTACATAAGCGAGGAGTACAAGAATAGACTATTTCACCGAGTATTTTATACAATAACTACTACTCATAGAAAAGATACTAAAGAAAATCCATAGACCAAGTTATCAAATTAAATATATCAAATCAACTTACCCAGTTTGTAGCTCTAGTTGAAACTGGTACAGCATGTTTCAGCAATAAGGCAGATTGACGTGCACGCCCAGATTTACAATGATCCAAATATCCAAGTGCAATAGATAAAAGGCTAGTCTCAGAAGCCAAAGAATCGATATAACCGAGCAGAAAGAATTCAACCAATGAGGAACTGTCTACAGGTTTGTACAATGATTCATTAATCTCAGCTTTAGAATTATCTGTACACGTAGTGAATCAAAAGAACGAAAGTAGTTCATACGATGATGTAAACAGTGAAGTGGATGTTTAAAGTTTCTGTGAATAATAAACAGATTCGGGTACAGACTTCTGGAAATGTTTAATTCGAAATTACATATGAAATCAAGGGAATAGTTTGATCATAATAACTTATTTAAAGGATATGGTCAAGTCCAGATTGTATATTACTTTAGCCACACTTGAAGGTGCTTTTGAATGTAGTACTAAACTCTTATTTTTTTATTCCGTAGCCTCAATTTTCATTTAGGAAATAAGAGAATAAATTTATGTGCACCTGAATTATTTTCATCAGTCACTTAATTTCACAAAGACTCCTAGTTGTTTAGTTTTAAGGAAACCGGTACTTGAAATGGTAGTTCATTGCTTTTGATATTTCATAACCAAATCGCTACCAAAATGACTGAACAGAATATTTTATCCTAGTAGTGGTCATGTGAAAAAAAAACTGTCTTTTAATAATTACCTTACTTTATGAAATAAAATTATTACATTTTCGAAAAAGTATCACTTACGATTAGCTATTTTAGGACAAGATTCCAATGATAGCTCGTCTTGTTTATGGATAAGCTGTAGATCATTCAATACACCAGGATAGATATGATTTAAAAGATTTGTAAAATGTGCAATAAACCACCAATTACTTAATTTTTCACTTGCTATACGAACAAATGAAAATAGATCGACGTGAAAAATGCTTGTGATTAAAGCATCGACGGACTGAAGTGAAAAGTGAACAATAATAACAGTAACAAAAATTAAAAATTTCTTAAAGAAACAAAACATTCAACTGATGGAAAATGTTTTTATTGTACAAATAAACTTTTGTAATCGTATTGAAATTTTCCAAGTTCACTAATTCGATTATGAAATGTTTAATGCAAAACCAAAAACAGTTGGACAATAAGATTTTTAAATTTATGATAGTTTGCAATGAATTATTGTATGGTTTATAACACGTGGTGTGCATTTTTACCAATGTCAAATGTATAACGATAATCTCTATTGCTTTATGTAAATAGATTTAAGCTATTATAACTACGTAGCCAAGTTTAGGTTTGTGTACACGGCTTTCAGATACAATACTATGTGAGGGGTAGCTGCTCAGACAGAATTAAATGGCGAACAGTTGAAACCAGTAATGAAGCTGATAAACGCTTTTAATACACTGTGTTTTAGTCATTTGCTTACATTATGTAGTACTTAAATAGCAAATGAGTAGCTAGGACAAACATAAAACTTTTGTGAACACATAAGTGCCCTGATACTTGATCACTTTTGTGTCAAATTACCTTTCTAGTAATTTGTAGAAGAATATCAGACTTTATCAAATTATCATTCAAGTTGCAAATAAAATCTAATAATACCGAACGAATTCCTTATGTTCTTGCTAATCTTTGTTGCTGTTGATTTTAAAAAGTAGGATGTTTGTAACTGTGGGTGATTGTAATTCACTTGTAGCGGTAACGGAATCGCTCATTGATACAGTATTCATACGTCCTCTTACTAGGAAATACTGGCTCTCAAATGTTACATCATTTTTACTATTATTAATGCGATGAATATTCTTTCAAAAAGCAACTTACAAATCATATCTTTTTAAACAATGTATTCCTATGTCTCCTCTATCGGTTATATACGTTACTTCCCTTTATGTATCAACCTGATTATTCTTGTAAATCGGTATAAATTCTAAAATTATTTTCAAAGTATAAAAGATGTAGCTAATTTAAATGTTATTCAATAACATTTAAGATTGAGACTGGTTTGAATGTAGTAAAACGAAGTCACACCGCGTGCATTAAAGTGCAATCTAACTCAATTAACTGGTTTATTTTACCAAACTCTTCGTTTATCTTGATTTCTGAGCAGTCGGTGATCGTTGATTTTAGATAGTGTACACGATGTATCCATAGGAAACTTAATAAAATTTGTTACAACCGAAGTGTTATTAGGTAATATCGCAATAAATAAAATATACAACTGGAACCAATATAGTGAGAAAAACTTGATCAGAGTTAGGTGGGAAATAATGCTAAACTACGAAATATGAATCATCGTTTGTAAGAATTTGCATCATAAAACTGTCTATCCAAAATATAATACAGAATATGAGTTTTGAGTTAATCATGAATGGCTAAGAGATGTCACTGCTATGTGACAACAAATAACAATACCATCAAGAGAAAAAAGCTGAATATAATGGAACTACAGGAAGCAAATTATTGGTTAATGGAATCGATTAAGGAGCAATAATTCAGATGATCTGATAATTATTAAAAAATGTAAGCTCTACCAGTGATACTCATTGGATAGTGGAAGTGAGTTATCGGAGAACTTAGGCGACTTTGCACATCTACTTGCTGTATTGAAAGGAGCAGCTTACAATATTTTAAATCAAAGTTATAAATACGAAGGTGATGAATGTGTCTCGTGATGTAACGGCGATTCTGAATTCCTCGTGACCGTTTTTTCTTCTTTTAAATTTATTTTACTGGGATATACTTCTCGAATCATATCTCCGATCCCTAATCTTTTTGAATACTGCTAATACTATTACTACCTCTACTACTATAGAACTTGAACTAACAATTCCATCTCTGTGTTAATGTGGTTTGGTAACTTGGACTGGCTGACATTGAGTCAGATAAAAAGGTTTGTATTCATGCAAATAATTCGAAATGTTATTTACCTGGTCAAAACTAGGATCCGATTCCATAGCACTTTTATTCGTTAAAGCAAGCCATCGATCAAGATCACTGTTCAGGCCATCAATATTTACTAACTGGTCAGTGTAGAAAACAAATGAGACAAAACGAAAAAACCATCCACGTGAACCTCTAGTTACTTCAAGAATTCGCGGGTCATCCCAAATAGAAGTGCGTCCTGATAAGATATTGGCAATTAGTTTTACGTAGTCAACTGATATTGGATCACCACCAACATGATCGAATTCTCCAGTAGACAGTCGATGTTCACATTCGGATTGCCAGTAGTTCCACGCTTGCGAAAATTGAGCACCATACTCAGTCCACATACCTAACACCAAAAATGACAAACACTTTTTTTAAATGAACACATTTTATAAATCCAACATCAAAAGGATGGTAGATGTCAAGTAACTGGTGGCAGTTAAGTACAAAACTTGCGTTTCATAATAAAAAGAAACATTCCAAAAATTGAATAGTGTCTATCATGTAGGTAAAAACATTGTTGGTTGAAATATAAGCACGAATTAACAAACAAGGAAAGTTTACTTGGACAATTAGTGTTATATATGTGTGTATTAAGAAAAAGGAACAGTGGCTAAATATTTGAATTAAAATACCAGACCAAATAGTTCCTGAAATAATTATAAAAATGGTCTTCAAAAAATGCTGAGAAATGTAGTGCATCCAAATATATATAATTCAAAAAATGCATTTTTGCATAGAGAATAAAAACTTCATAAACTTGATCATATAGCAGAGTTTACTAAGAATTTTTCAGCTTTTAAAGTGTACTGTTAATATTACTGAACATACTATCATTAATCATATGTCTCTAGCTAAATATATGCTGCTTGATGAATTTTCTAAAACATTAGTTAAATGACATGCAATTAAATTGTAATTATTATCCTTGTAATATTGATAAAAAGATTACGACGAGCATTTATGTGTTGAATATGCTAAAGTTACTGACTTTATTAACAAGCTACATCTAAAAAAATTCAATCTAAACTTTCAACTATTTCTAGTAATTATATCATTGTAACTCAATGCCCTGAAATATTCATTAGACAAAGTAACTTGCTATTGAAAAACGACAGATCTAGACTTATCTCATATTTCAGCCACCAACAATTAGGAAGCCAGTCAAGAGAAACAAATTCGGAACAAGTCTACTTAACCTCCAATATTGATAAGAATTTAATTCGGAACAACATGAGTATTGATAGAAATGCTTGACGTGGTCATATTGATCATTCCAATTAAGGGAATAAGTCTGTTGAGTGGAACTCAAATTTCCGTATTGGCTACACTCTTCAAAATGAAGATGTAGAATCATACAGGACTTTTAAAAGAAGCACGCAGTTTTAGGTCCTATTCAGCCTACAGATTTTTTCAGGTGATATATATAAGTATGACGGCCATGATACTGCTTTAATTAGTTCCATATAGTGAAAATTATTTAGACTCAGTGAGCACTGATTTGGATTTCTACAGTAGTTACCAAGGTTACTATCTGCAACTAACGAAACAACTACAACGGCGAATAATTAGGACCTAATTAGTTCATTCAGCGATAAAAATGGTCATAACTTTCCAGCAGTAAGATAAAAGAAAGAATCTTAAGCAAAAACAAGTGTAGTATGTGTACATAGAAGTATATTTAAAAGAGACAAAACGATGAGATCAATGCTGTGCCGAGAATGCTTTTTAAAACGTTTTCAATTAACAGACGTTTGCGACAGCAAAGAAATTACTGAAATCTTCCAAGGCAGTTTACATTACCCAGAATGATTATGGAAAACCAATTCTACTTATAACTGAATAGCAACATTACTATTGGTCGCACAAAACTTCAACAATACAACCACATACTTCAACAGTGAGAACATATTTCCTGGGCTGTGAAATTTGATAAACCTTATATTGCATATAATTATTTACTTACACATGTTATCCTTAATAGAGAAAAGGCGGTTGACTAGCATTCTCCAACCTACTCTGTCCTAGGCCTTCCTTTTAAGTTCTATCCAATTGCCGTTCTTTTTTCTACACATCTGCTCACAATTCTCGACGTGATGTGTTGTTTAGTTTTCTTCTTTTTCTTTTGACCTTAGGGATTCCATGTCAGGGCTTATATCGTAACGCGGTTGGGTGCCTTCCTCATCGTGCGTCCTATCTACCACCAGCGCTTTTTCTTAATTTATTCCTCAGCTGCAATCTGGTTTCATCTCTCCCACAGCCGGTCGTCGATTATGGCGAGAATCATAATCTGGTCAACGACCAGAAGACAGAAGGCTGAAACTAATCAATCTTTCCCTATTGCACATTATTCACTGTAAACCATGGTCTTCATTTGGGCTATTCTGATAAATGGTCCATAAAAACAATCTGCGATCCGTAACTACCAGCTTTTAAGTTGTTACGGAGAAAATATATACTCACCAAAAGTCAACCCTTAATTTCAATAAAATCGTGTGATGTAATCGTACGTATAACGTATGATTTGTACTAATTAGCAAAACCGCAAATTTCAGTAGGAAATATCAAACGTCCACCATAAAAATACAAACAAACACTACTGTAATCTACCCTAGGTAATGAGACCAATTATTGGATATGTTTTAGAAAAAATATTTTAAATAAAATCACCTGCCTTCTTTTTCAGCATGTGAAGCGATTGGCATAGAAGCTAAAAGTTGACGTAGACTTCGAAGACCACGACCGTTAGAATTAGAGTGCAGGACAAGCAAACTTGCTGCTTCTTGACATCTAGCTTGTAATACCAAGCTTAAAACTGTTGGCCAAAAGCGCTTGTCAGTTTCCCATGATTTAAGATTACTCAGTTTACTACTCAATAAAGTATGACCTGTTTGTTCCTTGTTCGCGCTTTCCAAAATCTCCCGAGCACAATTAGCAGCTTCCTGAGATTGTACATAAAACCAACTACAAAGATTGAATGCTAAATATCCAGGCGGTGATACCTAAATTAACAAGAATAACAGTGAGAAGCTCTATCCCAAAATTAAGTATAGCACCGACAAAATAACTAAGATCATATGAGATTTCTAATGATATGAGTGGCTTTTTAAGTTGTATTTAATTTATTCCCGTTTATATACAGTAGCTGCAAAAAGATGCACCTAGGTATGAGAAATATGAATGCTTGAGTTGCGTACTTAAAACTAGAATTTTTCACAACAAGGAAAGCAGACTAAATTAATGCGGGATTACTAATAAAATCTGGTGATAAACCTACTGGTGCAGCATTTCTAACTAGTGATTTAACTAAAACGGTAAAAAATATGCCACAAGTGTTTACCAACCAAAACAATATACTAGTAAAATGTCAAGAAAAAAAGTAGTGAAGGACCAAGAAACGGAAGAATAAGGGGAAAGACTAAGAGTAATATCAAGTGTGCTCTAAATCCCTATCATATGAGTTGATGGAATAATAGTTAAACTTGAATCTATGGAAGGACAGCTATGGCTTATAAGTATTCGGTGGTTTGTGGCTAGCAGTAGGAACGAGAATATGCGTTTCGTTCGATTAGGCACCCGACAGCTGGATATGCCTGCATCTCAGAGTTGATATTCACTATGGGACTCGAACCCCAGGCCGTTCGCTTCAAACTCTGTAGCTACTGAGTCTGGATAGCCACTGACTTGTGAGATTCAAGCAACCAGTACAAATGAATTTGTAATAGGTAAAAAAGGCATGTAACAACATGTTTGAAAAACTAGCAGGGGTGAAAGATGGTAAGAAAGTAGTCTGCAAATTTGCTGACCAGCAGTTCGATAAGCGTAAAATGTACACATACGCTGGTCTACATACGGGTATAAATGAATAGTTGGTAGTCATGACATAATAAACGATAAGTGAGTACGATGTACGTGTGAAGTGAACATACTTGAATGAAAATCAGTTCTGCAAGGTGCCACAAGAGCTCCAGTGTCTGAATCAGGTTGCCTTGAGCAAGGAGATGAGCTACCCTTGCCTCATCTGGACGGAAATTTTCTGAAAGGATATATATGTATATAAGCTCAGTTACTAAGAAATGAGAAGATTTCGTTCGAACACACAGCTAAAGCAGCTCTGTATTGTATGCTGTGGTTGATAAATCTGAAAGGGGATATTTCAAACACTACACTTACGAGTTCTGTGCTGTGCACTTTTGGAGGGCGGAGAAAACCTCTTTTCAATATACATTTATAGTATGCGTAACTTACCGAAGGAACTTTTGACAAGTCGTTTCATAAACTCATCGTTGTATATTGACGTGCCCCACTTAACATTCTCAATGAGTATTTCGTTGCGAGAGGATTCTGCGGAAGCACTTGGTTTACTGAAAACCCCTAGTTCGTTTTCTGACAACCAGACATGATTTAAAGGACCCGTGACTCCAACAACAAGCGGACCGTCCATCCTGACAGTAGCGCACTACTTCAAAATTTGGCTCAAGTATATTATGGCCTTCAGACTTTGACAGGTGTCTGGGTTATGATAGAGGAGTCTCGGTTAAGCTAGTTTATAATTCCTGCTTTTATTACTCACGAAAAGAAGAAAACGACCATCAGCGTAGTTTTCCAGGAAACAATCTAAGATGCCGTTATCTCTACTCTCCTTTTAAACTTGTTATAGCATCAGCCTTGTTGTGTGCAAGCAAAAGGAAAAAAATTTGAGTGGAGAAATAAAGAGTTTCGGAAACATTTGATCTCACTTTTAAAGTGTAATTAAGCGTCGAATAAGTTATCAAAGTAAATAGTCGCGTAGATCTTTGATACTTACGCTGACCTTAAATGTTTTACTGAACACCCCGACCCCAGCAGAAGGCACTTAGTCATGATATGTTCAGTATAGATATTCCGTGATGAGTTTTTTCCAAGAAAACTAGTCAGCCTACATTTTGTACGTCAAATCACATATACCTATGATTCAGATGAAGTTTTTTATTATCATCCTGGAAATCAGGTCTCATTAGCTCTACTATCGTGCAGTTAGGGGAGATTAGAGAAGTAGTGTGCTAATATGCTGCCTATCTGTTGTTAGACCCTTCAGAAAACTGTATCGGCGTTACAGAAACATTTATATATGATAATTCAATCACTTGTAGAGGCCTGAGTCGAGGTTGACTATGATCACCACTACAGACCAATTACTTCCACACCACTAATCATACTCCCGCCGTGAATCAAAGACAGAAAAGATTTCATCCAGAAAAGGAAGTATGCATGTGGGTGATCCCGTGGTGTCCAAAGAATACCGAGATCGTGCCAAAGGATAGGTGAAACTACCACTAGCACGGTAACCAAGATGTCAGCAAAGCATCAGCAAAGTGCGCGTACAGAGCACAACTAAACAAGAAGTTCATTGGTTCATTGATTATAAAAATGGACATTTCTATTCAGCCTTTCGAGTCTTCGTAAAAGCTGCGTCACCACATACATTTACTACGCTCCTATACTCATGTGACTGTAACATTAGTGATGTAAATGAGTCGACAAAATAAATAATTATGTCGGTCTTAGATATTGATTCTGATCTCATTAGTTGTATTGGACAAACCCACGTGAAGGCGCTCGGTCACGAATCCACCACAGGTTGACGTACCCAGTAACAGTCTTATTTCTCATGCTCCTTGGCATTTGTACCATCATAAAATATACCTCCTATCCTTATCATTCCTGACTTTGATTTAACTTGGCTCTGGGTATCTTCGATATGGAAGATGTTACAGATAAATGATATGTTCGGCATTTAGGATGCTTGAGGCTATTACGAGTTTACCTTAGTCGATAAACGCGAACGAGACTTTTACCAGCTTCCAGGAAGGCTACCCTGAATCCCAGAATCGAAATAGAAGACTTTGTAGGCGTAGAAGTATATTCTACAAGCACCCAGCAATCCCAGTACAATCAAGCATACAACTCTCGTTTATTTATACAACATAACAACGTCCTTGAGACAGTTAAGAAAATAGCATACTAAAATACACTGTAGCCAATCACAGCCATTGATTTTCCTGGTGGGAATTGAAATCTCAAGGTCATTTGATCAGCCCCTGCTGGCGAACGTGAAAACCGAAATACGGCATTATCAAGCGAATTTTGGGGACCTAACATCCCCAACACTCCTCCCCTTTTTAATAGCGTGTTCTCCTGTGGTTGACTTGCATCTTGACTATTGTTCGCCGCTGTCTGAGGGGATACCTTCGGGAACGAAGAACAGCTTGCTGCTGAGTTTCTTCTCGTGGCGAGGCTCTCGGTAGGTTGAAGGTATCACGCAAGATGTCAAGGGGAAGGCTTTCTGCTCTTGATGGGCGATCTGGGGCTAGCCGTCTGCGTATCTGATTGCGATGACGTGACCATTTATCACCTCCTACCTCTACTTCGTACATAACTCGACCAACCCTTCTGACCACTCTTGCTTCTACCCAAGGACCATGGTTCGTTCTGTAGTCGCGGGCAAACACAGGGCATCCCACCTCGTAAGCGGATTGTCTTTGCTGCTTTGTCTCTACTGATGAGGGTGCATTGGTCGGATGCATCAGGCTGTGGATCGTTTTCAATCTTCTTCCCATCAGGATTTCAGCTGGGGACTTTTGCTCCGGTAACAATTCATTTGGTGTTGTCCGATAGACGTACAAGAAATTTTGTAACGTTTAGGCTGGCGTCCCCTCCCCTTTTGACTTGAGCAGTGCTCTTTTAAACGTATCCACAAACCTTTCCGCCTGCCCATTCGATTGCGGGTGGTATGGTGGCGAGCGTAAGTGTTTAATAGCTAGCCGTTGACAGAAATTCTGGAATTGGGAAGAGGTGAATTGAGAGCCAATGTCGGATACGATCACATCTGGTATGCCATTTCGTGAGAAAATTTCAGTTAGGAGCTGTATAGTCTTAGTTGTAGTGGGCGGCATAACGGGGCTGATTTCCGGCCATTTAGAAAAGGCGTCGACGACAATTAAATACATAGTTCCATTTATTGGGCCAGTGAAGTTGACATGTATCCTGGACCAAGGATTCTCAGGTTTGGGCCATGAAACCGGCGGAATTTGGGCATTCATCTTTGCCGCCTGCTGACATCTCATGCATTTTTCAACCAACGCTGTGACATGTTGATCCATGTGAGGCCAGTATGCATAACTCCTGGCTATGGACTTCATTCGTTTAATCCCAGGATGACCAAGATGGAACTGTCTCAGCACTTTTGCACGAAGGGATTCTGGCACCACTACTCTTTCACCAAACATCAGGCAATCGTTGACGATGCATAGTGACTCCCGCCGCTGATACAGTTGCTTCATGTCACCTTCAAACTTTTTCGACGGCCAACCGTTAGTGACATATTTCATCGTCATCTTGATGATGGGGTCGTTTCTAGAAGCATTTTGTATGTCTGTTGCAGACACCGGTAATGCGCGAACTGCGGTTGTCAGATAACATTCTGCGTGGTTCTTCGTATACGCTTCTGGGTCATGTCGTTGTGATACCAGGCTGCATATGGTATTTAGCGGGACACCAGCCAATTTTAGCTGGTCGAACCAATCTAAACCAAGTAAATTTAGATCAGCTGGCGTTATATAGCATACCCCAGTAAACGACGAATCTCGGAAAGCAACTTTACATTCCAATTGTCCTAACAGACGAAGATAATTACCACATGCTGTACGAGGCTTTTGTGTTGTGTGCTGCAGGCTTGGGCTGCCCAATTTGGTCCAATTTTCGCGTGAGAGGATAGTGACATCAGATGCAGTATCTATTTGCATTCTACACAAATAACCGTTAATATTAAGAGTAATAAATTTCCTCTCACCTGGTGATGAGCTTTGGCAGGAAGATATTAGGCTCAATGCATTGGTACTGGATCTAGGAACAGGCTTCTTAGCACTTCTGGATCGCTTTGGCTTTTTCTGTAGGCAAAAGCCATCTTTATGACCGATGACTTTACACTTCCTGCATCTATGCTGCCTAAATGGGCAGTTCCGTACATAGTGCCATGAACCGCAGTGCCAGCAAGCAGAAGGTGGATTCATTTTGGGTTTTTGGGCCGAATTGGAATTTTTCTTTTCACTAATGGAATGCACGTATGATGAGAGGCCATTGTTTTCGACCAAGGAGGTATCATGCTTCAAGTTTACTAATCTCTGGCACTCTGCAGTTATTTCTTGAAGCGAGATGTTTGGGCACTGTTCAATTTTACTTAGGATTCTGGTTCTTATATCAGCATCGTCGGGAGATTGTAAGCTGCACACAAACACAAGGCACTTAAACTGATCTTCCGTCATTGATGATAATTTAAATCGTTCGCATTCACGATTTACTAAGCCAGCATGCTTTACCCAGTCATCTTCATTTGACTTGATTATTTTGAGGCATTGATAACGAATATTAAAGAGAGATGACTGTTCAGAGAAGATTTGCGACAGCGTATCAATTGTAGCATCAAAAGAGAAATCTCGTGGGTTCTTTGGGAGGATGAAATTATTATAACGTTCGTGTTCGATTGTGCCGAGCTTTCTCAAAAGGATTCTGACTTTGGTGGCGTCATCAAGATTGTTGAGGTCGACCTTGAACAAATCCTCATACTTCTTAAACCAAGACTCGAAAGTCACACCAGCAAGGCCATCAAAATGAAATTCATGAATGGAATTAACTATCGAGTCTGTATGCGGATTATATGAATCATCGGCAAAACCTCTGTGATTCAAATTCATTTGTTTCATTAACAGCTCCAACATACGTTCCTGGAACTGTTCATATCGTTTACCTTGACGTTCCAGTAAAGATTCTAACTGTTCAAGATTAATTGACATTGTGAATTGTGAGCCCCGTCGCCACTGATATGTTCGGCATTTAGGATGCTTGAGGCTATTACGAGTTTACCTTAGTCGATAAACGCGAACGAGACTTTTACCAGCTTCCAGGAAGGCTACCCTGAATCCCAGAATCGAAATAGAAGACTTTGTAGGCGTAGAAGTATATTCTACAAGCACCCAGCAATCCCAGTACAATCAAGCATACAACTCTCGTTTATTTATACAACATAACAACGTCCTTGAGACAGTTAAGAAAATAGCATACTAAAATACACTGTAGCCAATCACAGCCATTGATTTTCCTGGTGGGAATTGAAATCTCAAGGTCATTTGATCAGCCCCTGCTGGCGAACGTGAAAACCGAAATACGGCATTATCAAGCGAATTTTGGGGACCTTACATCCCCAACAATAAATGCGTTGGTTAATTCTCAATATCTCTGAGATCCTCAGTCCCTCACATTAGAACTTATACCATTCTATTTTTTAAATTAAACCCTGACTTTGCTGCGTCACATCTAACTTCCACGAGCAGTGGTTGATCAAAAACCTTTCATAGTCCCTCGCACAAGTGGAGACACCCATACGAATAAAATGTGTTCCTTAGTTTC